TCAAGGGTTCGGGAGGGAGGCAGGGTGGGTGGGGGGAAAAGCTGATACCAAGGGCTCAAGTAGAAAGCAAATGTTTTGAGAATAATGATGGCAACAAATGTACAAATGTGCTTGACACAATGGATATATGTATGGATTGTGATAAGAGTTTTAGGAGCCCCCAATAAAGTGATTTAAATTAAAAAGAAGAATGTGGACTTCGGCTGTGACACCAAAGCCAGCCCAGCCATCGAGCGGTAAGGAGGCAGTGCCCCAGAGAAGCGTAGGCAGGAGAGAAAGAAGGGCTCATTGGTGGTTCGGATCCAGATGGCACCGGAGGACAGTGGCCCTGTTGAAAGGAACAAGAGTCTTTTCCAGGGTGGGAGGTGGGAGGGGTGGGGATGGGGACAGCGGAAGGCCAGGATTGGGTTTTTGACACTGGGCCTTTAGGTTAGCCTGGAGTCTCATTGACAGGTGGCAAGCGACTGACTAGTGGGCGACCTGATGGCATAGTGGTTATGTATTGGGCTGCTCACTGAAAGTTCAGCAGTTTGAAATGACTAGCCAATTCGAGGGAGAGAGGCAAGGAAGGCTTCCTACTCCCCTAAGTGTTTCAGTCTCTGAAGCTCACAGGGACAGTTACACCCTGTCCTATAGTCACTAGAAGACAGCATGGACTTGCTGGCAGTGAGTTCTGAACAACTGATGGGAGCTCTAGTGGTGTCGTGGGTCACATGCACTACTCAAGGTCAGTAGTGCCAGCAATTCCCGGTGGGAAAGGTGAGGCTTTCTGCTTTCATAAATATCATATAGTTTCAGAAACCCTACATAAGGTCACTATAATGGCAGAGGTGGTGTGTGTGTGTGTGTGTGTGTGTGTGTGTGTGTGTGTGTGTGTTTTAAGCGAGTGACTGAAGAAGCCTGGTGGCTCTGTAGGACAAATAAGGGGCTGTGATTCAAAGCCACCAGCCAATGCGTGAAAGATGGAGCTCTCTCCCAGGAAACCCGGTGCAGGATTGCTAGGAGGTGACACTGGCTCAGTGGCAGTGGGGTTAGCAACTGCCTCAAAGGATTTAAGTAACAAAAAAGAATTTGCTTCCTTGCATAACAGAAAAGTGGTCCTGTATTAAGGCACATCTAGATCATATGATGCTCATCAGGAATCTTTGACCCACGTGCCAAGGAATGGCAGACAGGCCACAAGCAGCTCCAGGCTCCCCTTCCACCACCTGAGCCCAGCTCCTGAGGTGACACAGATTTGGCGTCACACCCATTCTGGGGCCAATTCCTATGACTCTCATTGAAAAGAGTCACATGCAGCCCTCCCTCTGGAAGCAGAGGTCGGGGTCAGCCCTACTGACCCTACGGTATCTATTCACAATGGGTGGGGGTCATTCCCTAAGGGAAAAAATGGGGGCCTGGACACAGGCTGGAGCTGGGCAGCAAAAACAAGGACTGTCCACTGCATCCTACCTCCCTCTGTCCAAGGTGTCATTAAAAACGTTTCCTATTTAACACACGTTTCCGTGTGAAACTTAAACTCATCCTAGGAGGCAGATGTTCCTCCTTCTCATTCGAAACCAACCCGGACTGTGAGGTCTTGGCACTGGACTCCCTGTGTGCTTAGGAACTGAGCCAGCCCCCTATCCGCTCCCCCTGCCCTCTGCCCCCTTCCCCGTGGGCTCTTCATTGATGGCCAGACCTCATGGTAGAGGAAAAAGCCGGTAAGCAGGAAATCCAGAGCTCCGCGTGTTGAAGAGGGGAGCTGTAGGAAAGACAGTGGTTGCAGATCCAGAGTCCACGTTGTGCCGCTGGGCCACATGGCAACAACCCTGGCAGCCCCCACTTGGCTGCTCTGGTTTTGCTCCGCGCACTGCCGCCCTGGCTCATCGCGCTTGGTCGGCACAGGTGATGGGGGCACTGATGCAGGGTTTTGTGGGTGCTTTTTAGAAGCCTAGGGGTTAAGGAGCCCTTGTGTGGCTCAGTTACCTCCTAACAGAAAGGCTAGTGGTGCCCACATCAGGCAGTGCCTGGGACTTCAGGCCCGGTGATCTGCTGAACCCTCCAAAGCAAGTTCTTGGACACACTTGAGGCTGCCAGGAGTTGAAACTGACTAGACGGCAACAATTCCATTTCCTAGGGGTTGGGTACCCTCTTGGCCCTTTTTTGCCCGGCTTGCATTCTTTTGATGTTTCTTGTCCTCCCCCCCTGGCCATTAAACCAAACCAAACCAGCAGCAACACTTTGCCACATGGAGTTGGTCCGGACTCGTGGGGACCCCATGTGTATCCGAGTAGAGCTGGGCTCCAGAGGGTTTCCAATGGCCGGTGTTTTAGAAGTAGATCGCCAGGTCTGCTTTCCAGGCACCTCTGCCTAGACGTGACCCTCCAACCCTTGGGCTAACAGCTGAGTGTGTTAACAGCTTGCACTATCCAGGGACTCCTTTCCTACTAATGCAATCCCCTTAATCATTAGGAGGCAGGTGTTCAGCCAATTTGCATGTGGTTGTCCCCAGAGCTATTAACTAAAGTGGGAGAGCACACTGAAAGTTATAGTTCTTGAATCTAGTCCCTGGTAGCGCTGTTGGGAGGGTGGAGGGGTTGTCTCTTAGCAACAGGCCTCCACTCATCCCAGGGGCCTTCAGTTCTGTGGCCTCTCGCTGTGCCTCTGCCACAGGGCAATGCACACCCTTAGGCTGGGGTGGGTGGCAAAGCTCACTTGCCTCTTCTTCCTCATGATGCGGCAGTGGAATGGTATCTGTAACAGAAGCCATGGGGGCCCTGGGAGGGCCCAGGAGAGGCTGAGGGGGCAAGTGCCTGTCAGGCCCCGGGCTGGCCTCCCTCTGGGCTTCCAGCTTCCCTCTCTTGGCGTGAGCTGAGGCTCACTGGGGGCAGACTGCTGGCTCTTAACGATGTCTCTCCACCATATTGGATTACCGGCCTCAAGCAGGAAGCGTGTTTCCGGGCTGAGGCTCATTTTCCTCCTCTCTGCTTCCAGGCGGACCCCCTCCAGCCAGCGGGTGTCCTTTTTGTAGGGTGTTACTGAAGACCATGGGAAAGGCCACACACCGCAGCCTGCCAGGTTTCTACATGTCTCCTGAAGTCCCTGCTTTGGCAGGGATGTGGTCCGAGCACCTAAGGCGGCGGGAGCTGGTTTAATCAGCTGTTTTGCTGCAGTGTGACAAGGTTTGCCACCTTCGGATGGGAGGGAGGTGGAGGCACTCTTTTCTACCCCCCACCCCCACTGAAAACCCACTCAACAAACGGGGGGGTGGGTAGTGGTACACTATGAGGGGTCCTTCATGGGTACCAACGCCCACCCAGAAGCCCATGATGTGCTTGCTGAAGGCCCCAGCTACGACACACCCCACAGGGCACACTTGTAAGAAGTCACACTGGACAGGGTGGCAGCTAACAGCAGTCTGCCATTTTGACTGTCCCACTATTTCTCTCTACTGCTGATGAGCACTTGTGTGTGTGTGTGGGGGGTGGGGGGTGTTCCTGGTTGGAACTATTAGAAATCAAGGGGAAGCCCGTTTTAAGAGACATCTGTCTCATCGTCTTGCCCTTGCACGTGTCCAGGCCTTCAGGGAACTACTTTCCATTCTGGGGACGAACGTATGTCCTGGAAAAGGGGCAGTGGGGGAGAAGTGATAGCAACCCCTTAATTTTCATTCTTTCTTTTCCAGCTTCCTCTGCCCGTAGTCGCGGGTGCCCTGAGCCTTCCTAACCCCACAGGGGGGGTGGGGATCGCCCGCGGTCCCCCATGAGCGCCCCCGGCTGAGCTGTAGGGCGGCCCCGGTGGAGCCCGGGCACAGCGCGGACGGCGGGGCCATGGCCTCGCTGGACCTGCCGTATCGCTGTCCACGCTGCGGGGAGCACAAACGCTTCCGGAGCCTGTCTTCCCTGCGCGCGCACCTGGAGTACAGCCACACCTATGAGACGCTTTACATCCTCTCCAAGACCAACAGTATCTGCGACGGCGCTGCGGCCGCGGCCGCTGCCGCCGCCGCCTCGGGCTTCCCGCTGGCGCCCGAGCCCGCCGCCTTGCTGGCCGTCCCCGGCGCCCGGCGCGAGGTCTTCGAGAGCACGTCCTTCCAGGGCAAGGAGCAGGCGGCCGGGCCGCCCGCAGCGCCGCACCTGCTGCACCACCACCATCACCATGGGCCCCTGGCCCACTTCCCCGGGGACTTGGTGCCCGCCGGCCTTCCGTGCGAGGAGCTGGCCGAGCCGGGCCTGGTGCCCGCCGCCGCGCGCTATGCGCTGCGCGAGATTGAAATCCCGCTGGGCGAGCTGTTCGCGCGCAAGTCCGTGGCGTCCTCGGCGTGCTCCACGCCGCCGCCCGGGCCCGGGCCCGGCCCCGCCTCGGCCTCGCCCGCGTCGCCCTCGCCCGCAGACGTGGCTTACGAGGAGGGCCTGGCGCGCCTCAAGATCCGCGCGCTGGAGAAGCTGGAGGTGGACCGGCGGCTGGAGCGGCTGAGCGAGGAGGTGGAGCAGAAGATCGCGGGCCAGGTGGGCCGGCTGCAGGCCGAGCTGGAGCGCAAGGCGGCCGAGCTGGAGACGGCGCGGCAGGAGAGCGCGCGCCTGGGGCGCGAGAAGGAGGAGCTGGAGGAGCGCGCCTCGGAGCTGTCGCGGCAGGTGGACGTGAGCGTGGAGCTGCTGGCCTCGCTCAAGCAGGACCTGGTGCTCAAGGAACAGGAGCTGAGCCGCAAGCAGCAGTGAGTGGGGGCCGCGGGAGAGAGACAGAGTGTGACTGTGTGTGTGGTGTTCCCATCAATGTTAATGACGGTGTGTGTGCATGTGTTGGGATTAAGGAGAGGGGAGATGGACATGGTCTATGTCCTGATGATCTGTGTTCGAATGGGGCTATGGGTCCGGGATAGTATGTGCCTGCCAGCGAAAACGGTCTCTTTCTGTTCCTTCTTTCATCAAAGCAAACCAACCCCGTCTTCTCACCAGACCCTGACCCTTTTGTTAAGTGAAAGACAAGGCTCAGCCCCACCCCCCACCCCCCTCTTCGATCAATAAAAGGTCCCCATTTACTGTATCCTTCCTAAGAGCGTTGGAGCATGATGTCATTCCTCCCATCTGTCTCAACCCTACTTTCCCCTTTAGCCCCTGCCTGGCTTCTCTTCTCCTTGCAGAGGAACCCTGGGAGTGCGGTGTCTACTATCCTGGCTCCCGATTCTTTGCTCAGCGTTCTCTTATGCCCACTTGGGTCGGTTTCTGCCCCGTGTGTGACCAGGGACCTTCATGCTGCTAAGGCCAGCTCATCTGATCGACCCAACTGGTTCTAGAAACCTCCTAGGTCGTGCTTCCACTTTTTTGGGATTTCCTCCTGTCTCCTGGTCGGCTCCTTGTCATTCTTCTTTCTCACCCTTGTGCCCCCCACCCCCACCTCCTGCCATATTTCTCTACCCAAGGCAGGTGTTGGGAATATATGGATGTTATAGATCTGTAATTACTGTGATGGAGGCGCCCTGGTGGCACTGTGGGATAAATGAGCTGCTAACCTCAAGGTCAGCAGTTACTGCATGGGGAGAAGGTGAGGCGGTTTGCTCTGTAAAGGTTTATAGCAGCGGTTCTTAACCTGTGGGTTGCGACCCCTTTGGGAGTCGAATGACCCTTTCACAGGGGTCACTCGATTCAGAGCAGTAGAAAAATTATAGTTAAGTCGTAGCAATGAAAATAATTTTATGATTGGGGGTCACAACATGAGGAACTGTATTAAAGGGTCGCAGCATGAGGAAGGTTGAGAACCCCTGGTTGATAGTCTGAGACCCCGTCTAGGGTCATTATGAGCCAGAATTGACTCTGTGGCTTTGGATTTTGCTCTGGCTGTCGGTGTTTAGGGATCTTTCTCCTTTGTTCATTACTGAATCCTCACTCCTTAGAATGGTACCTAGCACTAGAAGGTACTTATGTTCGCTTCCTAGGGTGCCTTAGCATGACCAGAAACTGAGTCCCTTAACACAACAGAAATGTATTCTTTGATAGTTTTGGAAGGCAGAAGTCCAAAACGAACTTTTGGACTGAGGGGTGGTGAATGAGGGACACTGGATTCCTTCTGGAGGTTCTCTGCCATGCCTCTGTGCTGGTGTCCAGTGGCTGTAGATAATCCGGAGCATTTTTTTGGTTTATAGCTGCCTAACTTTAATCTCTGCCTTCACCAGGCCAACACATGCCCACAGAGGAGAACCCCATGTCTCAAGCCTCCCTCTCCTTTCTCTTTTAAGGACACCCATCATTGGGTATAGGGCCTGTGTTAGTCTGGGTACTTTAGAGAAACAAATCCATAGCAACTCATGTATAAGAGAGAGTTTTATGTAAAGATTAAGTGTGCATCAAGAAAACATCCCAACCCAATGCTGCCCAAGCCCACAAGTCCAACATTAACCAATATGTCCAACACCAGTCCACAAAGTCCTCCACCTCACAAAACAGAGGCAATGATGCCGACTGCAGCAGGAATGCTGAGTCAGTGAATGAACAAGCATCTCAGCACTAGCAGGGGTCTCCACTCAGCTGCTCCAGCACCCAGGCCTGCATCGGCGTAGGTCCATGTGGCTTCTTCTTGGGGATGTCTTGTAGGAAGTCAGTCTTGCAAGCTGAACTGCTTTAGCAGGGAACTGCTAAAGCAGCTGCACCCTGGTGCGACCATCACAAAACAAGAGACCCGAGAACTAGAAAGGCGAGGCTCACTGAGTCATTTATCCCTCCACCCTTCAATTAATCCCACATGTGTTTATCGGCCAGGTTGGCACAATAAACTACTCAGGGCCCCTCTCCCCAACCCCTCTCCACCCCAACCCCATCATGTTAACCTCAGATGCTTACCTTAACAACATCTGCAATGACCCTGCTTCCATGTAAGGTCACCCTCACAGGTGCCAGGGGTTAGAACTTGGACACACTGGCAGGGAGGATACAACACACTGGTTACAGAGCCCCAGCACACGTTGACTGGATGAGTAGACACCTGTGAGCGCATCTGGGCTGAATGCCCACGGGATTGTGCCGTGCGCTCCACCAGGCGGCTCATGGAGAGACTACTGCAGCTGTCAGCATACTGCTGCTTCTGAAGCCATCTCTCAGGGTGGTGTTGTGACGGTGTGCCTGTGGGACTGAGACTGTGTGTGCTATGGGACTGCGCCTCCATCGTTGTGTCTCTGAAACTGCGTGTGTACCGGAGAGGAACTGTGAGTACATGGCTCTGTGTTTTGTGTGTGCGTAAGTGAAAGAGAGAGAGAGTCTGGCTGCACTGTGTGTGTGGCTGTATGGTGTGTCTGGTCGTGGTGGGTGACTGTGTGGCGCTGCTGGGAGCGGGGTCTAAGGCTCTGTGCGCCAGTCAGTGTTTCTGGGGGACAAGATGGCAGTGTGCTTTGAGGTGCAGCTCCATGGGAGCAGCGAGTGTGGTTGAGTGTTCAGGGGGGTGCAAGTGGGGTGTCAATGTGTATTCCTGCACTTCTGTGGGTGAAGGGCAGTGGGCTTGGGCTGGTTCTAGAGCAGCGGTTCTCCACCTGTGGGTCTTAACTCCTTTGGGGGGGTCGAAGTACCCTTTCACTGGGGTCACCCGATGCATCACAGTAGGAAAATGACAGTGACGAAGTAGCAACACAAATAATGTGATGATTGGGGGGAGTCGCCACCGCATGAGGGCCTGTCTGAAAGAGTCACAGTGTGAGGCAGGCAGATCCCACTGCTCCAGAGGGATCTACGTGGCCCTGAGCAGACCTCTGTCTGTCTGTGTACCAGCTGGGGGCTCGCGCGGGGGCGGGGTGGGGGGGTGGCGGGGCGGGGCGGTAAGCGCTCGCTGTGGGCCCAGGGAGGTGGTGCAGATCGACCAGTTCTTGAAGGAGACTGCGGCGCGCGAGGCCAGCGCCAAGCTGCGGCTGCAGCAGTTCATCGAGGAGCTCCTGGAGCGGGCCGACCGCGCCGAGCGGCAGCTGCAGGTCATCAGCAGCAGCTGCGGCAGCACGCCCAGCACCAGCCTGGGCCGCGGAGCCGGGGGCAGTGGCGCCGGGCCCGGTCCCCGAGGCCCAGGCCGAATGGTGAGTGAATGCCCCCTGGCTTGCCCTCCGCGGCCTGCCCAGCTGGCCCCGGCCTCCCCGACTGCCCCCGTTGCCCTCCTCGGGCCGGAAGTAGCGGTTCCCAGCGGGAACGGAAGTGCCAGGTCCCTGAGGTGCACTCCGGGGACCCTGGTCTCTGCCCCTCCTGCCAGGAAGAACCCAGGAGCCACACCACGCCAGGGGCTTCGGGGTCTGGGGGGTGGTGATGGATGCCGGGAGGGGGCTGGTGAGCCTTCCTTTTGGGGCTGTCTGTCTGTCCATTCGTCCATCTTTCCCAACTTTGTGCCTTCTCTCTCTTCTGCCTCTCTCTGTCCATCCCATGCCCTGCTGTTCCTGCCTTCTCATCTTCTTGCTTCCTCTGCCCCCTTCCCGCCCCTCCTGCGCTGGGGCCTGCAGCGAGAGCACCACGCAGGCTCAGCCATGCCTAGCACATACGCCTTGTCCCGGCATGGCTCCTCTCCCGGCACAGGGTAAGCCTCGGGAGTGGCCTGCCCCTCGCAGCCCACCCTCATCCTGGAAACACCCACTGGCCACTGGCTGGCTAGCTCGCCTGGGGGCTTGTCCCTCTTTCCCCAGCTACCTGTGGGCCACCTGTGTCTGCCTTGCCACATTCAGAGGGGGCTCTCGGAAAGCAGGGTGGAGGGATGCCCAGGGCTGGGAGGCACAGGGATGGGGAAGGGAGTTTAGAAAGACCTGCCCCTCAGCCTCATCATCTCGTCCACCCCCCCACCCCCAGGGCCTCCAGCCGCGTGCCAGCTGCGTCCCAGAGCTCAGGCTGCTATGACAGCGACAGTCTGGAGCTGCCCCGAACAGAAGAGGGGGCCCCTGAGGACGGTGGTGTTGGGGGCATTGGCACACGGGCCCAGGGGGCCAACGGTGGTGGCTCGGAACGGTCCCAGCCCCCTCGCAGCTCAGGCCTGCGGCGCCAGGCCATCCACAACTGGCAGCGCCGCCCCCGACAGCACAGCACTGCGGGGGAGGAGGGGGACGTCTCTGACGTGGGCTCCCGGACCACTGAGTCAGAGGCTGAGGGCGCCTCAGACGCCCCCCGCCCCGGGCCTGCTGGGCCCTTGAGCGGCTGCCGGCTCCCAGGTGAGTTGTGGGGGGCAGGGCTGGGCGGAGGAAGCAGGCTTTCCCGCGATGCCCCGCCTTCTCAGGACTCTGTGCTAGGTGGTGCATCTGCTGGCCATCAAACCTCCCTTCGCTTGCCCGAAGATCTACCTCAGGGGCCCTTCCCCCTGAGGCAGGAAGTAGGGGACCAGGCAGAGGTGTTCTGGTTGAGTTTGCTGGGACCCGACGCCCTCCCCTCAGGGGGCCATTTCCAGGAGGGGCTCCCTAACACTTAGGACAGTTGCATGCCCATCCAGATGCTGTAGTGCCCTCCTGGCCGGGGTCACCCAGCCCTGCCACAGGGCCATGCCCACATGTAGAGAGGTGAAGGCTTGACCCCACCAAGCGGTTGTTCCTGGCAGCCTGTGGCTCCCAGAGACCCAGTCTCCATCCCGTCCTGTGCTGGCCCCCGGTCCCTTTCCTTCTTGGGACCTGCCCCGGTGCCTCATCTGGTGGGGGTTATGGGGCGGGGGAGCAGAATTCAGCCTGTGGGATCATACACTGTTCAGAGACACCTGTGTCATTCGCAAAACAAACAGGGATGGGCTGATGCAAGAAGTCCCTTAACCTCTTCCAAAAATGTCCAGTCCCCAGCACCTCTTAGCCCTGCCCAGCTCCACGCCCACTGGCCTCTGACCCTGCCTGTTCACCCTTGCCTCCCTCACTCCCTTACCCCTTACTCTGCAGCCCGCTCAGAGGGTGGCAGTGGGCGGGGCCATCGAGCCGAGCGGGGCAGCCCCTCCCGCTCCAACGAAGTCATCAGTCCGGAGATCCTCAAGATGCGCGCGGCCCTGTTCTGCATCTTCACCTACCTGGACACGCGCACCCTGCTGCACGCCGCCGAGGTCTGCCGTGACTGGCGCTTTGTGGCACGCCACCCGGCAGTCTGGACACGGGTGCTGCTGGAGAATGCCCGCGTCTGTTCCAAGGTGCGTGCCCCCCCCTCCGTCCCCTCCGCCCACTCTCCCCTGCGGTGAACTCCCACCGAACGAGCCCATCTGGCTCCCCACATGTGCGCAGGGGTCTGGGACGCCAGGGCAGCCAAGCTCAGAGTCGCCCTGTCCCGGGGAACCCTCTCTCCGCAGTTTCTGGCAATGCTGGCGCAGTGGTGCACCCAGGCACACTCGCTGACCCTGCAGAACTTGAAGCCCCGGCAGCGGGGCAAGAAGGAGAGCAAGGAGGAATATGCTCGGAGCACACGGTGAGGCCCCCCGGGGGCTGCTGGGTGGCAGGCCGAGTTGAGCTGGAGTGCTTCCCTGAGGTGGCCGGTTGCCGCAAGCAGCTCCTTGTCCTCACCGTCCCTAGAGGCTGCCTGGAAGCAGGATTGGAGTCGCTGCTGAAGGCAGCTGGGGGCAACCTGCTGATCCTACGCATCTCCCATTGCCCCAACATCCTCACCGACCGCTCGCTGTGGCTAGCCAGCTGCTACTGCCGGGCCCTGCAGGCTGTCACCTACAGGTGGGTGTGCAGTGCCAGAAGCCAGGTGCCTGTGCTCTCAGCCTTGGGCCCCCAGGGGACCCTAGCCTCTGCACAGCCGACCCCAGAGCTCCCCAGTGAGGAGATCCAAAAGCTCTACGGCCCACGGGAAGGATGTCCCGGCACCCACCAGTGTGGGTGCCCCTGGCTCTGTCTTTCTCAACAGGAGTGCCACGGATCCTGTGGGCCATGAGGTCATTTGGGCCCTGGGTGCCGGCTGCAGAGAGATTGTCTCCCTCCAGGTGGCACCGCTCCACCCCTGGTGAGCCCCGGCAGGGTGGGAAGGGAGGCCTGGGCTCATCCTCTTGGCTGGCTGGGGACACGGACGGACGTATACTCATCGGTCTGCAGTGTAGAGAGGGCTGGGACCCGTGTGGAGTCCACCTGGGTTCCTGCAAAGTGGAGGGGGTACATGAGGACTTCTTAAGGCTTTTACAGCTCAGGTGGGGTCCTGGGTGGACATAAATCCTGACACCGTGGGTGTTCAGTAAACCCTTGCCATCTGAGAGGTAGTTCAGGGGGATCCTCGTATCACTCCAGGGTCTGAAAGTCTTGGGTCATTCCTGCCAGAGTTTTCACACACTCGTCGTGTCCTTAACCCCCCAAGCCCTCCTTCCACATAACGGCTCTCCCCATGCTGCCCAGTGTCCCCTCACTAACACCCCACTCCCTTAGCCCTCGCTCCAAGGCCTGCTGTAGTGCCTTCTGCATGTCTTTGTACCTTGATCTCCCACAGGAGATACCTGGGGCTCAGGACAGAGGCTGTGAATGTCTGTGTCCGTGGCCCGGGTACTAGTTGCATAGCAGGTGCCAAGGGGAGATGTTTGCTACCTGGGTGAATGCTGAGGGATGCAGTATTCAGGGATGCAGTGAATTGGGTGTGTGGGGAGCAGGCAGGGCAGAGCTATGAGCACGGAAGACAGGCGAGGCCAAGAGTTGGAAAGGGGGTAGGTTTGTGCATTTTCTCTAGAACGTGCTAAGAAGACACTGAAGGCCATTCATTTTTAAGAAAGGGCTTAAGTTCACTGGTAAGATCCTATGCCCCCCTTGTACCTCCATCCTACCCCCCAGGCTGCCCATTCCTCAAGGACAAGTGCCAGGCCTTTGCTGCTCAGTGCTGTGGCCCTAGGGCCAGGCTCGGTTCTTGGCTGCAGTGAGGGCTGGATCGGCGCTTGTTGAGTGAGTGAATATGTGAATGAGTGGCCACCGTGTGTAGGGCAGAGGAGGAGTTGGCCAGGAGACTAATGGGAGCCTGAACTTGGGGCTCCAGAGTTATCCAGGGACTGGAATCTGCAGGATTTGAGGGAGGTGGTTGAGGAAGGAGAGTTGGATATGGTCTCAGCTTTCTAACCTGAGAAGCTGGGTGGCTGGCAGGACCCTTGCCTGACAGGGCCCCAGAGGGGGAGCATATTTGGGTGGCTGCCCTGACGGCACCCTTCCTGACCCTGTTCTTCAGCCAGCAGCCCACCCGCTTCAGTAACCGCTGCCTGCAGATGATCGGCCGCTGCTGGCCCCACCTCCGGGCCCTGGGGGTTGGGGGCGCCGGCTGTGGGGTGCAGGGCCTGGCCTCACTCGGTAAGTCTTCCCTTGAGACTGGGGTGGGCTTCGGGGAGCCACGCCGCACTGTTACACCCCCGAGGAAGGGTTCAGGCGCTGCAGTGGGTGGTGAGCAGGTGCACCAGGCTGCCAGGTGGGAGGTGATCGTCAGGCCACCCTCTCTCCTTCCCTGTTCCCAGCGAGAAACTGCATGCGGCTGCAGGTCCTGGAGCTGGACCACGTGTCGGAGGTCACCCAGGAGGTGGCGGCTGAGGTCTGCCGGGAAGGTCTGAAGGGGCTGGAGATGCTGGTGCTCACCGCCACCCCCGTCACCCCCAAGGCCCTGCTGCATTTCAACAGTGAGCCACGGAGGGTGTGGGCTGGGGTCACTCCTCGTCACAGCTTGTCACCAGGTCACAAAGCCAGCTCCCTGCCCTCCCAACCAGCCAACACACAGCATTGGGCTCAGAGTGACCTGGAGTCCTGGAGTGACCCTGGATTGGCCAACCAAGGCCTTCTGAGACCAGAGGCATTCAAAGTCAGCCCAGATTGTTCACTTAACTGCCATGTGCTGGTGTGTCAGTTATGAGTTGGAATGATAACCACAAGGTCAGAAATTTGATACCACCAGCCGCTGGGTGGGAGAAAGACCAGGGCTTCTACTCCTGCACCGAGTGACAGTCTTGGAAACTGACAGGGGTGGTTTTATCTCCATCCTACAGGGCTGCTATGAGTCGACATCACCTTCTTGACAGTGAGGTTTTTCTTTTAGTAGGTTGTGTTTGGGCAGCTAGCCACAAGGTCAGCAGTTTGAAACCACCAGCTGCTCTTCGGAAGGAAGATGGGCCTTTCTATTCCCATAGCGTTACAGTCCCGGGAAACCCACAGGGGCAGTCCTACCCTGTCTTACGGCTCGCTATGAGCCGGCGTCAACTCGCTGGCACTGAGTACCCACGTTGAAGGCACACGCTGCCCAGCACCTGCTTCTGCTGCTCCAGCCACATGCAGAGGCAGGAACACTAATGGGTTAACAACATAGGGCTGAGTGTGGCCCCGGTTCTGGACCCACTGCTAATGTGACTTTGGACCAGCCAGCACCCCTCCCAGAGTCCTGTTAGAGCCATCCTCTTCACAGGCTCCGGAGGACTAAAGGGGCCGTGCGTCCACACCTCCTCACCCGGCTGTCCTGGGGATGAAGACTGCTCTCTCCCTGGGGGGCCTCCTCCAGCCCCTAGCTCCCCACCCAACTCCCCATCTCTCCCCATCTTTACTCAGGACGCAGGTGTCCATCGTGGGCTCTCTTACCCAAAGGAGACATCTTCCAGGGCCATCCCCTTCAGCCCATGGCTACCTCCTGGACCACGTGACCAGTGCCCACCTCCAAACCACAGTCTTGGGGCTCCTTCCGGCTCCCGACTGCCTCACTCTATGGAGACGCCAATCCCCTGGGCTCTCGGCTGCCCTCCTTCAGGCCCCAGCCTCTCACTCAGTGCCTTAGAGTTCATGGCCTTAGCACCACTGCCCGCTTGGCTAGGAGAGCTCCTGGAGCCCCGTGGACCTAGCTGCTGCCCATGCATCCCCCGGCGGCAGCTGCAGCCTTGACGCTTCCACAGCGCCATCTTCTAGCATCTTCCCCGTGTCTGTGTGAGCCTCGGGGACAGGGGCCTTCTCTGCTCTTGCTTGCAGGGGCTGGCTCATGGTGGCTCTCAGTGAATTCAGGAGGGGAGGGGAGGTCCCCATTGCCCAGGCTGAGCAAGGGTCCCCACCGTGCCCCACCTCTTCCAGGCATTTGCCGGAACCTCAAGTCCATTGTGGTCCAGATCGGGATCGCTGATTATTTCAAAGAGCCCAGCAGCCCTGAGGCACAGACACTGTTTGAGGACATGGTGACAAAGCTTCAGGTGAGGAGGCCAGTGGACTTCATGGGTGGGTGTTGTGTATGGGAACCCCACACCCCCATCTGGCCTGCAGGGAGAACTGACCTGTCCTGTCCGCAGGCCCTGCGGCGGAGGCCTGGATTCTCCAAGATCCTGCACGTAAAGGTGGAAGGTGGCTGCTAACCCGGGTGTGGGGGCAGCAGGGCCCCCGCCAGCCCCACATCAGGGCACACCTTGGACCTCGGGAGGGACTCGGCTTCAGATCGGACCCTCGGAGGCCTTGTGTTCTCCCCGACTTCCTGGGAAGGGACTGACAGTTTCCTATCCTCCCTGGACTGAGGAACAGCAGACCTCCCACCTCCTGCACTGCCAGTCCCTGGCAGGGGCTCTGACATGGGCTGGCTGCTGACCCCCAGCTGGAGCCCGAACTGAGAGAAGCTGAACCATCACCAGCGCCACATCATCGTTGGGGACACCTGCAATAACCACCAGGGGCTCCCTGTCCCTTCAGGCAGCCCCTGCACCCCCGGGTCCTGTCTCCTGTCAGGTCAGAGGGTGCCTGCCTACAAGGCAGCTCAGACTTGGCATGCAGGGCTCTTCCGCCCTCAGGTCTCGGGGGCACCGCCTTCAGACAGCCCACCTAGGCTCTGATCCATGCTGTCCAGCATGTGGTCGGCTGAGAGCTGAGACAGGGATGCAGTGGGCATGGAACACGAGGGGGGTGGGTTTGGAAGGGCAGACCCTCTTCCCAGGATATTCAGACCACCTTTCCCGGGGTAGAATGTTTAAGAGTGTTTCTGTAAGCAAGGACCAGAGATGCCCGCCCTGCACCCACCCACCGCAGGGCTCCAGGCAGAGCCCTCGGGTGCATGATGCTCACCCCCAGCCCTGGGGTCCCTTATCAGCCCTGAGAGGTTTTTCCTGTCCCCATGGAGTATCCTCCTCACCCAGGTGCTTGGGCAGGAGTCTAATGGTCCCCAAGGCTGTCTGGGAGGGTAGGCCAGTGCAGGGGAGCGGAAGAGACTGGGAGGAGAGGGGCGTGGCTTGTCCCTGACTAGCTAGCTTGGTTGAAGATGCTGGGGCCAAGGAGAGAAAGACCCGCCACAGTGGACTCGCCCCCCTCCTCAGCCGTGGGGTTTTCCTGCCTGGGGCTGAGCTGGGACTTCAAGCCAGAATGTGAATGGGGCTTCTCCCTGCTTCCTGCACAATTCCCAAAGGACCAGGCCCCGAAGACTCAAGTGTGCCCCATTGCCTCTCTCAGAACTCCCACGACGGCTCAGAGACCATGAGTCCTGCCAACCTTGATTCGGGAAGTTCTTCCAAACATCTAACCAACTCCGTCTTGGGGTTTCCTTCTCTCCTATGCAGGACTGGCTCCTGGCCCTGGCCCCGGAGCTGCATGGTCCCAGCTGGGGCCGGGGCCGGGGCCGGGGCCCTCTCCCTTCCCAGGCTTTCTCCACCACAGCTTGGCTTGGACATGGAGACCAGCCCTGAGTTCCCTTGCAATGTGTGCCCCAGGGTGGGGAACCCACGGGCCTACCCGGCTGGCTCTGCTCCTAGGCTTGGCGTCATGTGCTCAGTGTGTCCTGGGGCTTGTGCTGTCCCTGACCATCCGAAGACCCAGAGTGCAGTGGGTGTCATGCTGACAAGTCCGTCTAGTTCGGCATGGTGGCTGTGTGGCGCTCCGCCTCTACCCCCGAGCCCTCAAGCAGCTGGGTCCATCAGCTCCCATCTCCCCGGCCTGCTCTCCAGGAGTCATGGGAAGAGCACAACCTTGGGGGGCGGGGCGGCACTGGAGGAGAGGGGCAGGTTACAGTGACCTGTTCTGCTGTGTGTGTCTTGCCAGCTGCAGCTCCCGTAGGCCCTGGTCCCTGTGATCCCAGGACCAGAGGTAATGCCTTTCAATCTCTTGGACAAGCACAAAGGAGTGCCCATGTGGTCTGACAGTAGCTCCCCACCCCGCCCCCGCCCCCAACTTCCATCCATCCAGACTGGGCAGTTTCTCACTGGAATGCCTGGCATCTACCCTGAGACAGTCAGGAGGGACTGGGCAGTCAGTGGGAAATGGTAATGCAGTTCCCTCGTTCCCTCACTCCATTTGCAGCTGGTCAGTGTCTCACTGCACACCTGCCCTGGGGACTGACGGGCATGCGCCCTGACCTGCATGCATGCCCCAGCACTGGCAACTTGGCAGTACCCCAACCCTAACAGCAACCTAACGCTATCCCTTGTCTCAGGGGAGATGAGTGCGAGCTTTTGCTGGTTTGCTAAGAGACTCCACTATGCAGTTCCTTCACGGGCAGGGCTATAGGGCCAGACTATCCCTAGAAGCTCCTCACCCCCCTCCCCCCACTCCACCTCCCCCAGGTAGCCCTCTCTTCCATGTCTCAGCCCTAAGAGGCAAAGAGGACCAAGGTAGGAGTCACCAGACTTGCCCTAGCACCAGACTTCACGTTTGCTTGGGGTATATTTCGACGGGGCTTCAGACTGCTTTCCCCCCAGCTCTGACCGGAAGCCAGGGAGAGGCTGTGCTCACAGCATCCTGGTGAGGGAGTGGGCTCCCCTGAGTGGGCCCTCGAGTGTGGGAGGAGCTGCAGATAGTGGAACCAGCTCCTCGGGAACAGCTTCGGAAAAGGGTTCTTCCCAAGCTCTGTGGCCCTGAGCTTCAACCCGTCCCTTGCCTACGGGGGCCCCCAGCCTGGTCACACATACTCGAGGCCATATGTGGGGAGCTGCCCAGGCCCCAACTCCCCTCAAAGGCGCTAAGTGGTGGGAGACCTTCCCTGAGTAACTATTGGTGCCAAAGACCCAGTTCCCAGGGGACTTGGGGTAAAAGCAGGACAGGGTGAAGGGGGTGCAGGGCCTTAGTGCCCAGAGACATTCTCTGGGACCAGAGGGGCCTGCCCATTTGTCAGTCTGTGATGAGTGCCCTTCCCTCCCTGGTGGCCTTGTCCCCGGCCTGCGTTTCTGTATATAGCGCTGTGTACTGTTGTGTATGTGTGTATTTATTCCTGGTCAGGTGTGTGCATCTGCAGCCTTGCTTAAGGATAAGGTTGAGCATCGAGTGAAGGTCAGAGTACTAGGGCCAACCAGCCCTGGGGGATCCCTGCCAGTCCCTGATCAGCAGGCCTCTGGCCACCATGGCTCCAGGGAGGTTTGGCCTGAGTCAGTCTCCTCAGCCTTGGTTCTTGCCCTGGAAGGGGCCTGTCTTCAGGCTCTGAGAGGCCCAAGGTCACCAAGGCCTGGCCTTGTGGATGGTGATGGTGGGCTTGGCTTAGGTGGGCACTGCTGGTGGAGACCTCAACTGTCCCCAGGCCCTGCCTTCCCCGAACAGCCAGGCGCTGAGTGAGAGGGAGCTTTACCACTAAGCACATCACGCAGAGGGGTGGGTGGAGAGCTTTCTTGACTTTATTTTTCTGTACATTACTGAAGTGGTGCCTGTACCTCCAGCCCCCAGGGGGCCCTCCCTGGCCCCACTTCTCTGCCCTACCCAGGCATTGCCAGCCCAGCACTTTGTCCCAGTCACCCATAGATGCCCTTGCTGAATGTACCCGAGTGTATGTATTCAAAGGAGCTTGTGGGCATCCGAATTCATGGCTCTGTATCCAATAAAAGATGGTGAAGCTGGAGTATTATCCGACCCAGAGAAACTGAGGTGTGTGGCCACATCTGTCAGTCAGCCAAGGGGGTGGGGACCCAGGAGAACTGGGTAACCAGGTGGGCACCAGCAGGGTCAATGAACTACCCACTCTCAATGTCTGCGACCAGTGAGCCCCATGGAGGAAGCAGTTGGCGTGACCTTTGCTGACCAGGTCCAAATCCTCAGAGCCTCTAGAGGGGCAGCCCATCAGGCTCCAACCTGGGGTGGTGGTGGTGGGGTGTGTGTGTGTGTGTGTGTGACTACCTTTCCCAAGTTGTCCAAGTCGCTATGGACTTGATTCCTCAGATCCTGAAGTACTTCAAGTAAAATCAGGAAAAAGGACACTGCTCACTAGGCTTAAGCTGTGGCACTAACGTCAAAGATGTGACTGGCTAATCACAACCCCGAGCCAGCCCTTCTTACCCTCGAGGTATGCAGGTGGGGAGCCGAGGCCGTGAATTAACGCGTACAGTTAGGGGTGGGAGTCTGGAGCTGCTCCTGCTCGCTGGGTCGTTCTGCGACGAGGCCAGCCCGCCAGGATCAGTCAACTTCAGGAAGATCCTCTTTAAGAACCACTTCCACATTCCGGACAGCTCTGCTGGTTCGCCTTACTCGGGGCCGGCCACCAGGCCTGCTTTAAGAGGGGTGTTGGACTAGAGTCCCTGGGTGGTGCACACAGGTCACCCTCAAATATTAGCCAAGAGTTGGCTCAAGCCCACCCAGACGTGCTTCAAAGGTAGGTCTGGCAAACTTCCCTCTCCAAGACCATGGACCACGAACACACACCCTGTGGAGCAGGAGCGGGTGTGGTTTTGGTTTGTGCTGGAGGTACCGTGACTGATGAACTGGGGGTTGGCAGTGAGAGTCCATCAGTCACTCCTTGGGAAAGCCAGGCAGCAGCCATTGGCTTGACAGACACACCGCTGCCTTTGGACTGTCCTGGAGTTGCTATGAGCCATCACCTTGATGGCAACAGGTTTCTGCTCTCGGAAACATCCACAGTAAGTCATAACCAGGCTCTCCAACAGGAAAGGGCATTCTAAAAGCGGGAAAGCAAACAGTTGCAGAGACGTGACCCCCAAGTGCGCGTCTCAGACATTGGAGACCTGACGGCAAGAGTTATCTTTAAAGTGCAGTAGGGAAAGAAAAAGGGCACCAAGAATTTCACACCTAGTGAAACTTCAAGAATGCGGGTGAAATCAGACAAGAAGCCTCTAAAGGGGCAGCCGACAAGAAGCCAAGTTCACAGCCACCAGATCCCTATCCACACATAAAGCCCCAGTGGGACTAAAAAGTAACCCAACAACAGACAGAAAGCTCCAGAAAAACTGCCTGGAAAAGAACCAGTTACTCGGCTTGGTCGTTTGAACTGCCCTTACCTTTTAACACCTGTCTAAAGCAGGTGCTCATGGTCATAGGTGGTTGGAATGACCTGATGGGTGCTTTCAGCAATCAACAGCAATCGATTCCTAAGAGGTCACTAGTGTTCGGCCAGGGTGTGGTCTCCCTGAAACATCCCTCTCAGGGCCCCTGGCCTCAAGGTCTTGATAAAAAAGGCCAAAGACTGAGCCAAAAGAAGACAGTGGGAGACAGGGGCCACCCCTGCTGTGGAGTCCAGAGCTTCAGGGATTGCACAACCCATGCACCATCGATCGATCGACATCATGAACACAAGACACTACAATTTCTGGGAACAAAGTCTATTGCTCACACACTGGCTACCCAGGTGGATTTAAACAAGTGACAGCTGGTCAATGTCTCCAGCAGGATCCGGTGGCAATGGTTAAGCCAGCTGGTTCATGGTGTGCTGCCAAAAGACCTCCGCAACATTACCAGGACGCAAAGGATGGTTTTTTTTCCAGATGAGGAGTCTAGAAAACACGGTTCAACATCTGATGGAGCTTCCTCAACCACCTAAAGTGCCAGCTCCCCCTGAAAATGATGTGCTGTAGACCAGAGTCCTTAGAAAAGGACATCGTGCTTGGTAGAGGACAGCAAACAAGAAGACCCTTAAGGAGACGGATGGGCACATGGCTGCCCCAATGGGCTCAGGCGTAACATCTGTAAGGGCGGGCAGGACCAGGCAGTTCCGTTCTGTGGTACATACCAAGAGCCACAACCAACTCATCGGCACCTAACAGGACGGAAATTGCCCGAAACAGCGCGAGCTGATGGAAACAGCTCCCTAATGAGTGTCTCCTAGCTAACAGCACACAGCTGAAGCCCTGCGTCGACAAGAACCGGTTACTGATGATAAAAGCTGGGGGCAAGGTAAGAGTCCTACAGGAAACTGCAGAAAAGTAAGACGATCCTATACAATTTTTTTTATTATGTTAACCTGCTTTTAATGTTATAAATGATAGAAGTAAAATTGCTTGCTTGGTTCATAT